GGCTGTACGCGATCCTTCTCTTTTGCTCTGGAGCTATCCAAGGTGTCGCTGATGGACAGGCTCTTTGGATGGGTCGAAAGCTAGGCGTCAAGCTTCGCGCTATCATTATCGGCGAAATCTACGCCAAAGCTCTGCGCCGGAAAGCCGGTTCCTCTCCTGATGCACCAAAGAAGAAGGAAGAACCTCAGAAGGACGGCAAAAAGAACAGGATCTTTTCCTTTGGCCGCAAGAAGAAGAAGGCCACAGCGGACTCTGAGACTCCAGCTCCAGCAGATTCCGCCAAGGCAGATCCGGCTCAATTAGCCAATGTCGGCACCATCATCAACCTGATGGCTATTGACTCTTTTAAGGTCAGCGAAGTGGGCGCCTATCTTCACTTTCTCTGGGCTAGCGTTCCGGTCCAAATCATCATTGCTGTCACGCTTCTGTATCGACTCCTTGGATTCAGCTCGTTCGCTGGAATCGTTCTCATGGTCCTTATGCTTCCGGTAAATCTTTTTATTGCCAAAAGCTTCGCTAGGTTGCAGAACCAGATCCTGGCTGGAACGGATGCACGTATTCACGCGACCAACGAGGTCCTTCAAAACATTCGTATTGTTAAATATTTCGCTTGGGAACAGCGTTTCCAAGATATCATCGACGAGAAGCGCAGAGGGGAGTTGAAATCGCTACGGAAACGCTACATTCTGTGGTCTTTCGCGGCAACGGTTTGGTACGGGACACCAATTCTCATCACCTTCTCCTCGTTCTTCTTGTATACGGTGGTTGAAAAGAAGAAACTGACACCATCGGTCGCTTTCCCGGCTTTGTCGATGTTCTCCTTACTCCGCGTACCCTTGGATCAGCTGGCCGATATGGTTGCTCATGTTCAAGAATCGAGAGTCTCCTTAGACCGTGTGGATACGTATCTCAATGAAGAGGAGACAGAGAAGTACAGCATATTGAGCACACGCACGGATCCTGGAACACCGCCTAAGATTGCATTGGAGAATGCTACTCTTTCCTGGGGCACTCCCAAGAAAGACAGCAATGGAGACACCGCTGACAATGGCGAGGCCTTCCGTTTGATCAATATGGACGTGTCCTTCCATATTGGTAAACTCAATATTATTGCTGGGCCTACAGGATCCGGAAAGACATCCTTATTGATGGCACTTTTGGGTGAAATGAAATTACTAGAAGGCAGAGTCCATCTACCTGGCGGAACGGCCAATCGAGCTGAATTGCCAGTTGATCCCCAAACTGGACTCATTGAGAGTGTCGCATACTGTGCACAAGAAGCATGGCTTGTCAATGCTACGGTCAAAGAGAACATTGTGTTCGCTTCACCTTTTGACGAGAGTCGCTACAGGGCCGTCATCAAAGCCTGTGCTCTCGAGCGCGACTTGTCTATTCTCGATGCGGGCGATCAAACCATGGTTGGCGAGAAAGGCATCAGTCTATCTGGAGGACAGAAGCAAAGGATCTCACTGGCTCGCGCTATCTACAGCAGGGCTCGTCATCTATTGCTCGACGATTGTCTCAGCGCTGTGGACTCTCACACAGCAAAGCACATTTTCCGAGAAGCTCTCAGAGGTCCATTGATGATGAACCGAACCTGTGTACTTGTCACTCACAACGTCGCTCTGACAGTTCCTCAAGCCGATTTTGTCGTCGCCCTCGACAATGGTAAGATTACCGCTCAAGGACGCCCAGATGATGTCGCCAGTTCGGGCGTTTTTGGTGAAGACTATTTCAAGTCTCGGCCCACCTCGAGAGCCAGTACTCCTCGTTTATCACGCATGCCATCTGACGCGGGTGATGGACACACAGATGAACAGCCCTCGACAAACGGAAAGGTGAACGGATCTTCTAGCAAACCGACTACGCAGGATCAGAAAGGGGACAATGTACAGTCGAAGCTGACTGAATCGAAAGCTGTCGGGAGTATCAAGTGGTCGACCATTCGGCTTTACCTCAGATCGATGGGTCCCTGGTACTACTGGATAAGTGCTGCTCTTGTCTTCAGCTTGCAGCAACTGGGATCTGTCTCGACCAACATCTGGATCAGACAGTGGGCGAATTCCTATCAGGTGGAAGAAAACGGCTCGGTTGATGCCGGCACTTACGCTGCTGCGACAGCTTTCAAGTACCCGTCATTCAATGCTGGGGGTGTTCCGCGCAGCTCCAACTCTTACGTTCCCCAGTTCGGTGTACAACGAAGTCCAGCGACCGATGGCGACGTGAATGTCTCCTACTATTTGGGTGTCTACGCACTTCTGGGAATTGGCTACGTCCTAATCTCCCTATTGAGGGAGGGTGTTCTCTTCTGGGGCTCTCTCAACGCATCTTCCCGGATCCACAGGCGCCTTCTGGATACCGTAATGCATGCCAAGTTCAAGTTCTTCGATTCAACCCCACTGGGTCAGTTGATGAACCGGTTCTCCAAGGATATAGAAGCTGTCGACCAAGAAGTCGCCCCTGTCGCTATTGGCATGATTCACTGCTTGGCATCCGTCATCATGATAGTGATTTTGATCTCTGTCATAACTCCTGGTTTCCTGATCGCGGCGATCTTCATATCTATGATCTATTTCGCTCTAGGGGCTGTTTATCTCAACGCCTCTCGTGATATGAAGAGACTGGAGTCGGTACAGCGAAGTCCTCTTTACCAGCAGTTCGGCGAGACCTTGAACGGCATCGTTACCATTCGTGCGTATGGCGATGGTCCGCGGTTTATAGTCGACAATCACCGGCGCATCAACGCCTACAACCGTCCCCACATATATCTCTGGGCTGCAAATCGCTGGCTGGCATTCCGTGTGGACATCACGGGCGCCTTAGTTTCGTTCTTCACGGCCGCTTTCGTTCTGATCAATATCGGGAAAATTGACGCTGGTGCTGCTGGCCTGTCTCTCACGTATGCAGTCACTTTCACCGAGAACGTGCTGTGGCTGGTTCGCCTGTACTCGGAGGTTCAGCAGAGCATGAACTCAGTTGAACGAGTGAAAGAGTACCTTGACGTTGAGCAAGAAGCCAAGGCAGTAATTGTCGACTCGAGGCCCCCGGCCGACTGGCCTACTGGAGGCGCCGTCGAATTTATGAATTACACTACCCGGTATCGGCCTGACCTTGATCCTGTCCTTCGAAGTGTGTCCTTTGCAGTCGAGCCCGGCGAAAAGGTCGGTATCGTTGGCCGCACAGGTGCTGGAAAGAGCTCCCTTGCGCTTGCGCTTTTCCGGGGACTTGAGGCAGAGCAGGGACAGATTCTCATTGATGGACTAGACATCGGCACCATTGGACTCCGCGATTTGCGGGAGGCAATTACCATTGTGCCCCAGGATCCAACTCTTTTCACAGGAACCATTCGAAGCAACCTTGATCCGTTCCACCTATTCAGCGATGAACAGATCTTCACAGCCCTTCGTCGTGTCCATCTCATCGGGTCGGGGACGTCAGGATCAGCAACTCCTATTACGGCCAGCACCGTGTCAGTCGCTGAACCGCACCTCATATCGGCCCATGGAGCCGACGTGGATGGTGCCGTTGTTCAAGATAATAAGAATATCTTCCGCAACCTGGAGTCTCCAGTCTCCGAATCAGGCTCAAATCTGTCCCAAGGCCAGAGGCAGCTTCTGTGCCTTGCGCGCGCTCTTTTGAAGAACCCCAAGGTTCTGATGATGGATGAGGCGACCGCATCTATCGACTACAACACTGATTCCAAGATCCAAGAAACGTTGCGGGAGTTGCGAGAGAGCACCATTATCACAATTGCGCACCGCCTGCAAACCATCATTGACTATGATAAAGTCTTAGTGCTTGATCATGGCGGGGTCATCGAGTACGATCATCCGTGGACGCTGATCAACAAGTCAGATGGGCTGTTCCGTAGCATGTGCGAGAACAGCGGCAATCTAGAGGTTCTTCTGGACGGCGCGAAAAACGCATGGGAAAACAAGCGCCTTGTTGATGACTCATAGAGCTCCATACATACATACTGCCTGTTAATCATTTCCTTTTCTCTTCATCGTTTGGGTTCCTGTACAGCCATAGGGACCAAAAGTTGCGTATATCTTTTTTTTGGGAGGCTACCTTATTCTTAGGACTGATCAGTATTAATATTCTAGCACATATGGCGATTAGAGTGCTTCTCCTTACATATCATGTTCATATTGGACAAGACCGCATATTATTATTATGAGAATGCTGCAATTTTCTTTCGTTGAGTAGCGCACTGTGGATAGTAGGAAGTTGAATGATGCCTCAGTCATCCATATGTTCTTCTTTGGGACTAGCGCAACATAACCATCGATGCCCAAAAGGGTAAGAGACGAACGTCACCGACGCCATACACCCATCTCTAACGGCTGAAATAACTCTCTTGGGATCCTCAGCAGCAAATTTTGATGCTGACGGCCAATCTTGAGAAACAATGCTACTGGATCTCAAAGACGATGGATGATCCCTTGACTCGGCGTCATCGGTGCGGACATGATATCACGGCTCCAGATTCTCGGAGCCGTACGGGAGCCCACCGTTCATGAGATCATGGTAGCCAAGTGATCGGATATCTCAACAGATGGACGCGTACCCCTCAGGTTCGTACCTGCAGAAGAATCCGAATCGCAGGGGTCTAGGTCGAAGCATTCTTGTTGTTCGACCATTGTTCGGTGTCAATTGCGACTGGTTCCGAGGAAGCAAAGTTTCTAGTGACTGGTGTCAATGATGCAACGGACCCGGGAAGACAGCTCTATGCGCATAGATTCCCGCTTGAACAAACTCAATTGTATGCGGGAATAGTCCAGATTTCATCATATGGTTGCATTCGTGACCGATTGAATAGTCGTCGTTGTTCATAATGACTGCAAGGACTCGGGCTGTGTCACTGAGGGAGCTTATAAGAGTCACTCAGCGGAAGTACGCTTGGCACAAGCTGGCTTCCCTTTCAATTTTGATATCAACTTCTCGTACAGCCTAGACGCATCACTCAGTCTAAACCGAGTGACTCCCTGACTCTCACCATGCGTATCCTCCCGACATTGAGCGGCCTCATTCTGGCCGGCGTGGCCACCACCGCCGCCCTCAACAACAGCTTCTGCACCCCCAAGTCTGGCGATGTCCAGGTAGTCCAGTACGCCTGGGCTCTCGAATTCTTCGTCCAGCAATACTACGCCTCCGTCCCAGTCAACCAGACCTTCCTCAACTCGGCGCTGAACAGCTCCACCGCAAACTACGCCTCCAACCTACAGGGCATCAACCAGCAGAACCGCCTCGGCGTCCGGGCCACGCAGCAACTCGGCAAGCGCATCAGTAACTTCACCGCGCCCGGCTGCAACTTCACCTTCCCCACCCCAGCCAGCAGCGAGGCGTTCCTAACCACCGCCCAGGCGTTCGAGTCCAACGTCTCCGCCGCCCTCGTCGGGCTCGAGGGCTTCACCCAGGCCCCCGAGGTCTCCTTCCTGATCGCTCGTCTAGCCGCCCAGCACGCCGGCCACGCCGCCTACCTCGCGACTACCCAGGAGGCCGTCGTCTTCCAGAGCAACGTTACCTCGCTGGTAAGCGCCTACAGCCCCAGCTACGTGCTCTCCAACGGCACCAGCCCCGGCCAGCTGGGCCGCTACTTCAGGGGATGCGTCTCGGCGCCTAAGCCCCCTTGCGGTAACCTTACCATCGGGCCATTGATTGCCACCAGAGGTGGCAACTCTTCGACGAGCTCGAATTCTTCCTCGTCTAGCTCCGCTTCTGGTGCTGCCACTTCTACGGGGTCTAGCAGGAGAAGATTCTGGTAGAAAGTCAAAAGGACTGTACATTGCGTTATTTCAAAGTCGCCTGCAAAGGCAAGAAGTATATCCTCATGGCCTCAATACCTAATACGATGGAAGGGATGGTGTTGCTGTAATTGATTGAGCGGGCTACTTTCTATAGAATAATGCCCTGTTACTTGATTCTAAGGAGGATCAACGCATAATGACAAGGTAGTATATTAATTGATGCTAATATGTACGGATACGCGATTTATTCCTATATACACGTATATCCACGTCCCTTATCAGAATCAGAAAAGAGGCTCCACTATGTACCGTAAATATTCTATAGACACTGGATCCCTATGCGCCAATAACCCTTGGTATCCAAAACTATCGTGATTCCATCGTTATGCAAATGCTGCTCGCTGTTACAAGTCCTGTACACCAGAAATCTGAATGAATGATCGTAAAAGTCGCCACTCTGGTGTCTTTGACTGGGTGACGAAGCAGGCTTCCTCGCAAGAAGTAAGGCCCCGGATGTTCCGGACTCAACGAGTTCGACACTATCCGCGTCACTCCGAGGCAGGTCTGGAGTTATCCTTCCTTCCTTCTTCTTTTGTCTGTTGCCACGTCTTCAATCCTGCCTGATCAAGGACAGGTACCTTTCCAGACTTTCCCCCATCACGTTTATGAAGGGCCACTGGGTGTTTCGCCGGAAAAGGCGGGCCCAGAGTTTGATAACTGCATATCCAAGGCTTCGTGGATCCTGACTTGGGGGTGATTCCCCATCTTCTAGGTCCATTGAAGCATATGCCTCTTCGACTATGCAACGTGTCCAATGCAGGATTCGACTTTCATTTTCTAAATTAAATGTTAACAAGTTAGTAATCGATGAGAGTGTCGGGAAAGTGTCGCCTCATACCACTCAGGGTTGTTTGATTTCCTGCCTCTGCTAGGGACAGTAGCCATTTGCTCAGGAGGACGGCACACTCTAGACTGGCAATAGAATGTCGGACACTCCAGAAGAAGGCTTGACTACGCGCAACATAGTCAATTCCCAGGCGTACGGGAATGCTTAACGCGTGCGCAGCATAGATCAGCGCAGGCGTTAGTCGATAGCTTCGTCCCGGCCGCGGTGATCGATGCAGCGCCGCAGCAATAACGTATGGGTCTCTGGTCTCTAACTGGCGGTAGGGCCCCAGATTCAAAGAAAGACGGACATAGGCCAACCCCAAAAGTGAGCTCGACGTGAATGGAATGGGACCATTTTCATTATGGGGATTGAGACTTGACTCCGGTGCTTGCTGCCAGACAGAGGTCCAGGAACGAAGTGCCCTCCTGTGCAATGGTCAGTTTGCCGTTCGGCGTGATATTTCAGTTAGACTTATAGCGAGACTCACTCCAGTTTATTTAATTCCTCTGTGGGTAATGAAAATGACTGGTCACCATTCGGGATGGAAAGTTCGCTCACCAGATGAATGCGCTGTAGAAGGCCATGGAGCAGAATGTAGTTGCCTAATGGCGAAGGGATCGGATCCAACATGACAGGCGTTCGTGACTTCTGCAGAAGTAGAGCCAGCGCATCCTGGAAGTACAATTGCTGCGAGCCAACTTCCTTTTGCGCGGCCTCCCATTCACTAGCTGTGGCGGCTTTCCATTCCTGAGTGGAACAAGGCAAGCGCAAGTGTACCTCGCTACTTCGAAGCACTGGGTAGATATTGTACGCGATGCTGTGGACATGAACAAAGCAGAAGGAGACAAGTCGAGTACGGCGAACGGACTCGTCCTCGGCCCACTCATGCCAATGCATAGGCGAATGTCTCGGAGTGACTGCGATGTTTTCAGTTAAACCAAATTCCCGCAAACACCTCACTAGTAGGTGCTGTAAACCAAAGGCTTCCTGAACTAGTTCGGGCCCTTCCCAGCTTGCAAATCCCATCAAGACAAGCAGGGTGCGGATGTTTTCAATCTGACGCCAGGCACTCCATCCCGGAGCATTGCCTAAAGGAAGGGGAATCGACGAGGGCGCTTGTTGGTGAAAAGTTCCCGGAACAGTAGAGAGTGGCATCTGAATGGCATTGCTGTACGACCCTCCAGTGGAAGGCTGTGTCTCTTTGGAGAGCCTGTGAAGTAAGATTGCTTTTGAGGCGTAGAAAAGCCTTTCGGCATTCCGGTGCTCCAGCCGATACTGAGCACCTACGGTCAAGAAGGCTAATATCAACTCTGGCGCGCGTTCATTGATCCGTAATGTGGGGAGGTGTATGAAAGGTAAGTGAGTATGGAAGCCCTCAAAGAATGAGGTCAAGTATCTCGTCAGCGTGTGCCGAGACGGCAAAACAAAGTCGGGAATTAAGTGACGGAACTCCTCTAGAGAGGTTGCGAGCCGTAATCTCTGTTCTTCGCTCACCTTAAGAGGCGAATAATTCGTCGCTGTCTGGGGAGGTTCTTATTTGTACGTCAGACACAACAGCTCCTTTTCAGTTTCTCAGGTAACATACCATGATCCGATACAGTTCCGAGGCTCTGGTCACCTGGCGGTACTGAGGGCAGCCAAGATCTGAAGGGCGAGTCATCGCGAGATCCCCTCGTCTGGCCTCGACGATTTGAGCTAGGCTGCTCTCTCGTTGCTCGGCCAGGATCGGGAACTTCAGCAGGCACTGCGCTGTGAACCTGCGAGATCTCACCTTCGGTGGGAACCCATTCCGCCGGCAAGCCGATCGAGTCCAGGAAGTGAGTGAAATCCTGAAAATGGTTCAGCTCTTCAGGAAGGTACGGCAATGGTTGCGCTAAGAGCAATTAGCAAAACCAATAATTGATCAATACGACGCCCGATTGCCTACCAACGGGTTGATTGTCTCGGTAGGCACCCGGGAGGAGTAGCTGTGCCGCTTGAAGGATATCCGCATCATGAGCAACTGCTGGATGCGTCTCCAGGCCCGTACTGTTACCACGGTCGTGGAGCATGTTTTGCTCGCCTGCCAGATACGATGCAGGATGGGCACCGGGCCATTGCCCTATAGTAGGGGTTACAGGAAGAGGAACCTCTGCCCGCGGCATAGGTTGTGCATCATGACTCTCTTGGGCAATATGGGATTCAGCCTGCTTGGGCACCTGAATCCCCACTGGCTGAACCTGATCCTTGGCTACCTGTTCAGGTTGAGCGCTAGGTGAAGAGAGGCCATTGTCTTGATGCAAGATACGTGTGTGCCGCTTGAGGAGGTCACGGCGTGTAAAAGCCGCCCCGCAGAAACAGACGAACGGCTTCTCTTTCGTATCTGAGCAGAGCCATCAGCAAGACATGTCTACAGTATAGTTGCCGATAGAACAAAAAGCAAGGCTTATTGGAGATGATTGGAGAGGCCCTTACGAGTACGGATATGCCGCTCAAGATGCTCTGTTCTCCTGAAGTTCCGACCGCAATGCATGCATACGCGAGTCTTTGCTCCAACGCTTGAGCGACGAGGGCCGCGTGTGGGCTGCGACGACTGAGACAGCATCAAGACATTTGGGGTGCATAACAATACAATAATAATAATTAATTCTGGGATTGATACTAAAGAAAGAAGATCTCTCCACTTGGAGACGACAAGGTTGAGCAAGTGGACTTGTGACAGGGAGTCTTTGGAGGTTGGACTCGGAGAGGAAAAGTGCGACCGGGGGCAGAGTCGAGGGGGAATGGGAATACAGGCTATACAGTACGGTACGGAGTACTATACAGTACGTGACCGACTCCAACGGCTGAGCGGGGTAGATAGATAATAGGTAGATAATCAAGATGACCCCAACGGATGCCTACCTTATGCTCTCTTCCTTACCCCGTTCCCATGATAAGCATCAAGATCAGATCATTATCTAGCAGGATACTTGGGTTTGGTTGAGCGATTTCAACGTCGTTGTCACAGCAAGATAGATACTATCTCGGAAATACAGCTATGGTGCGAGCGTACTCATTCCCCGGTGTTGCAGTCATCACAGGGGCCGGCGGAACAGGTACAGTCTTATCTACCTTAGACATCGACTCGAGCAAGTCTTCAGAGAAGGCAATCCCTTGTTGCTGAAATTTCCTAGGGATTGGTGCAGCAGTTGCAAAAGCCTTTGCCTCCGCAGGATGCGAGCGAGTAGCCGTAACAGACATCAATGAATCCTCTCTGACAAAGACACGAGATGCGATTTTCTCTCTCCACCCCAACATTCGTCTGGTAGTGAGAGCAGGGAATATGGCGGACGAGCAATTCGTCGAGGCCTTTATGAATGAAGTGGTGAGCACATTCGGTCGTCTCGATTATGCAGTGAACTGCGTCGGGATACTTGGGGACTCGGGTCGATCAACAGAAACCAGCACGGAGGTCTTTGACCGGATTACCAATATTAATTACAGGGGTTGTTGGCTGTCATCCAGAGCACAGTTGAAGCAGATGCTCAAACAAGATCCTCTACCGAGCCATGATCCGGGCCGTGAGCCGCAACGGGGGAGTATTGTCAATATCGCCAGTCAGCTGGGGATTGTCTCACGTCCTGGAGCTCGTAAGCGCTCCTGTTTCTTCAACTCGAGATACCGCTTGAGCGTTTACTGATACTCCTTTGAAAAACAACAGCAGCATACTGCGCCTCCAAAGCCGCCATTATCGGCATGACTCGAGCCGATGCAATAGATTATTCTGCGGACGGCATCCGCGTGAATTGTGTCTGTCCGGGGGTCATTGAGACCCCGATGACAACTGGAAACGAGGAGGTACGTGCGCGGCTACAGCCTGCCGTGGATATTGCGCCGATGAAACGGATGGGCAAGCCAGAAGAGGTGGCAGATGCGGTTCTCTTTTTATGTTCGACGTTTGCCTCCTTCGTGCAGGGCCATGCTATGGTTGTTGATGGTGGCTATGTTATCAACTAGACTCTCGGCAAAGACCGTAGGCAAAACGTACTTCACAAGGACTCTACTAGCTTGTACAAAAAATAGTGCCGAATTGACCCTATCTAGTCTAAACATTCATTGTAAAATCTCTCCTTCCAGTTGAAATGGATCTCCCACGCACGACCGGCTCGCAAGATTTTCGATTCCTGCCACAGTCCTCCTGCAATCTGCATCCCGACCGGCAGTTGGACGTCCGCATTGTCCTTAGCAGGGGCAAATCCAACAGGAATGGACATTGCGGGCTGGCCAGTTACGTCAAATATTGCAGTATTTATCGTGAGACCCATGCTCGGCTTCACCGACTCCAATGGAAGACCACGCTTCCCGTGTCTAGGCGCAACGACCGGAGTAGTGGGCATGATCACCACATCGTACTGCTCAAAGATCGTCTCGTAGAGATCTCGGAGCCTCCGGCCGATGTTCATGGTCTTGCCGTAGAGATCCGGGAACCGCGAGCTGAGGTACAACCCGTTGATGATGACGTTCTTCGTTGCTGGAAAGGCTCTCTGATAGCTATCGTTTGTCCAAGGGAGTCTTGCGCGCTCCATTTCAGTCAGATACAATCCTCTTCTTCCGTGGGCATGCCCCAGGAGATTCATGGAGCCTGCTATGCGCTGTTGGATTGTCCAGATGGCGGGGCCTTGCAGGTGCTCGGGGAGTGAAATCTCCTCAACTGTGGCACCGAGCTCTTTGAATCCCTGGGCGGCCGTCCTGACACAGTCCCTGACTGCGGCAGCGACAGCCGCATGCTCAAAGCCTTCTTTCAACAAGGCAATCCTGAAGCCGTCGAGCCTCGTCGGTTCTGCCTGAAGTCTCTGAGCAAACACTGTTGATCCGGGCTTGGGACTGCCAAGCGATCTGTCGTCTATTCCGTCATAGCCACTGATAGCATCCAGGCAGAGGGCAATATCTTGCACATTTCGAGCCAGTGGTCCGGCATGGTCATTCACCGCATCACCACTTGCAATACCGGTAAACGGAACCAGGCCATGTGTGGGCTTCAGACCAACGCCTGCGGGAGAATATCAGTGAGGCATTCATCTGTCTTATCTGGGGCAATCATACAGCCACATAGTGACGCAGGCACTCGGATACTCCCACCTTGATCACCACCTATTGTAATATCCACCAAGCCACCGGCCACCAGAGCAGCCCCGCCAGATGTGCTACCACCGGCAGAATACCCTGCCGCAAGAGGATTCTCGACTATACCCTGAGCACTAGTATAGGAGCCGGTGGAATGGCAGAAATTTTCGCACGTCGAGGTACCCAGAATATCAGCACCGGCATCCAGGAGTCGCGTAACGACCGTCGCATCAGTGATTGGTGTCCAAGCCGGAATCACATCGCTGCCCAGTAGCTGAGGGACCCCAGCAACTGCAATGCAATCTTTCAAGCTGACCGTCTTTCCAGCCAGGGGACCTCCACCGGGGTCACCCTTGATCAAGAATTTATGCGCCCACGCCTGACCGAAAACCTGCTCTTCCGGCGACGGTCGCCGTATGTTTTGTCGTGGATAACGTGATAGATCAGGTACAGGCTGGTAATCTGGTAGCTTCGCGACGTCCTCTGCGCAATCATGGACGGCTGCTAGGAGAGTATGGAAATCATCTGCTTCATCGGGGTTGACTGAGAGGCCAAAATTATTCAGAAGCAGCTGCGCGTCTTCCTTTTTCACAGGGTTATCTCTGTACGAGCTTCTTTAGTTCTGTCCTTATGATGCATCACGCTGAGATCGGACTTACGCGGAAATCGAGGTAAACAGGACTGACATGATGAGCCTCGAATATGCACAACTTGGACGCGTGGAAGAGGTCGGCGATGTCTTGGAAAGGTAGAAGAAAAGAATTTGTTACAGCCTCATTCTCAAGCTTGCACTCAAGGCAGCTATCATCGTAGAAGAACAAACAGTACTCCAACTGCACAGACAGCGCCCTTATCATGCAGGTTGGAGACGAGATTTTGGAGTCTTCTCCTTGTCAAGACCCCAACTTCTGGGCTGGAGTTATCGATGATCAACGGCCGAATGGACATTACCATATCAGAATAGTCATCGTGAGCTCCACTGCTACCAAAATCCATTATCCTGCGGATGAGGGGAACATCTCCATCTCCGCACAAGAGGAGTACATAGTCTGATAAGCGTCAAGTCTACCCTTTTAGCTACAGACTCAAATCGGCGACCCAAGACTGGCTTGTTGGCTGAAATCATTGCGCCTGATTGGAAAAACTTCTAATTTCAACAATTCATATTCTTGGAGAACCCGACCTCGCGGCACTTCGCCGACGATTTAGAATTCGTCATTGATACAAAGCTCGAATTGCAGAAATGGGCAAGAAGCGTGTTCTCATCACTTACGGCGTCGATGTCGATGCAGTTGCCGGCTGGCTTGGTTCTTATGGAGGAGAAGACTCAACGAATGACATCAGCAGAGGTGATTCATGCAGTCTATGCGGATTGATGGGTTCCTCAGTTGCTAACTCGACCATGAACAGGTGTTTGGGCTGCCACTGTCGGCACGAGGCGTCTTCTAAAATTCTTCGACAAGTACGGCATCAAATCGACATGGTTCATTCCGGGCCACTCGTTAGAATCATTTCCTGAAGAGATGGCTGCCGTGCGCGACGCTGGCCATGAGATCGGTCTCCACGGATATTCGCACGAGAACCCGAAGGACATGACGTTCGAACAGCAGCGGGATGTCCTAGACAAAACCTACCGGATGTTGACCGAGTTCTGCGGAAAGCCGCCTCGTGGAAGTGTTGCCCCGTGGTAGGTTCTTTCTCTGTATGTTGCAAATAGCCTCTTGCTGATACAGAGGCGTAGGTGGGAAACGAGCAAAGAAGGGGCTCAATTGCTCCTGGACTACGGAATCGAGTACGATCACAGCATGAGCCACGAAGACTGCCAAGCGTACTATCTGCGAACAGGAGATTCCTGGACCAAGATTGACTACAGCAAGAGGGCAGAAGAGTGGATGAAGCCTCTGGTTCCTGGTCAGGAGACGGGGCTTGTGGAGATCCCTGCAAACTGGTACATCGACGACCTGCCTCCCATGATGTTCATCAAAGCAGCCTCGAACAGTCATGGATTCGTCAACCCCCGTGATGTTGAAGACATCTGGCGCGATCACTTTGACTACTTTTACCGGGAGTATGACACATTCATTTTCCCCATCACAATCCATCCGGACGTTTCTGGGCGGCCGCCTGTGCTTCTCATGCATGAAAGACTCATCGAGCATTTTAAAAAGCACGACGGAGTGGAATTCGTGACTATGGAGCAAGTCTGCGACATCTTCAAGAAGGAAAACCCGGCGCCTGAAGGTGCGCTCATGCCAGCCGAACCGGGAGCCATCCTCAAGAAGTAATCACGTAGAGTCCGCTTACCTTAGCTATTCAATGACAATTCTTCAAAACGGATATCAAGAATCTCGAAAAATAACGTCAAGCGTGCTCTAGTACTAGCCCTGGATGGATTGTCTCCAACCCTCTCCAATACTCCAACTGACAGAAATAAAGCTGCAGATACTGAAAATACCCCAGACTCCTATGTTAGTGACTAGCAGTTACGACTTGTAATCCTCAAAATGATAGTCAATCTTACCCCATCTTTTTTTCGGCTGACCGTTACTCCAACTCTGGGGTTTAGTCTTTTCCATCTTCGTATCTTTTCTCCATGTGGAATGTGGATCAGCACGCTGAGACTGTTTAGTTTTATCACTGCCCCATGGAATATCATGAATTCATGATTGTAGGCTTGGGATGGAAACCTTATCGCGTGTGCTGATCCCAGTTTGATCGTCCAAGTGAGCAGTATGGCGATGATGGGGTAAGAGACTACCCCAAAGCCGTGTACCTGAGCATGAGCTTCGTGACAACCTCCTACCTCGCCTTCAGCCTGGTCATCTACGCCTGGTGCGGGAAGTGGATCGCCTCGCCCTCGCTCGGCAGCGCCGGCGAGACCGTCAAGCGCGTCGCGTACGGCATCGCCCTCCCCGGCCTCATCGTCAGCGGCGCGCTGTACGTGCACGTCGGCGCAAAGTACCTCTTCGTGCGCATCCTGCGGCACTCGAAGCATCTCCAGGCGAACACCCTCGTCCACTGGGGGACCTAGCTGGGCTGCACCGTAACCCTGTCCGCCATCTCCTTCATTCTGGCCAGCGCCATCCCCATCTTCACGTATGTCCTTGCCTTGGTGGGGAGTCTCTGCTATTCGCCGCTGGCGATCTGCTTGCCCGGGTGGTTGTGGCTGTATAGTCACCAGCACTACCGGCAGGGCAGCGTCGGGCGGCTCGTCATCTACGGTCTGCATGTGGGTATGATTTTACTAGGGGTCTTTATGACTATCGGAGGCACGTACGGGGTAGTGGTGCAGATCATGGATGCGTACCGCAACGGACGGATTGACCAAGCGTTCTCGTGCGCGGACAATAGCGGTACAGTCTCGTAGTCCTCATTGTCTTCTGGGATATCCATTGCGGAAACTTTTGTTTTTCATCTCTCACTTCTTCTAAACTGCAATCAACTCCATACGTCATACAGACAAGACATGTAATCAACCACGCTATCGCTAACACCTCACCTCGAAACTGCGAATCTCAGCCTTCTTCCCCTCAATGTTGGGAGCCTGACACTTCCTCGGACTATGCGGCGCAATAGTGCCAATCGACCTTTTACACCTTTCATCGCTGAACAGAAGCACCTCGCAAGCCGGTTGCTGTATCTCACTGATGTAGCCCAACGCACCTCCGTTCAAGATCTCATTTTCACATGCGAGTGAGCCAGAGCCCGAGTACAAGGTATCTTCTCCTGAGCACCGGGTGTTCTGATAGAGATGGAGGCGCCATCTCACAGGGTGGTTTGCAGGTGTAGGTGCTGGTGATGGATTGGCGGGGTTTGTGAGTAATGCGAGACCGAGAGAGCCGAGCAGGAGCGTTTGAGCGTTGACAAACATGTTGTCTTCTGATACAAGTAGGAATGGGACACTCGAAGCGATATCAAACAGCACAGCCCTGAAGAGCTCGAGTCAGGCCGCTCAATTCCATGTTCTGATGGCTTACCTCCAGCCAAATGGCAGGATCTGTTAGTGAGTATTGGTACAAACACAAGAGAAAGAGGATTCCTATCTTGTACAAGAGTTGATCACTTCTACATAGCAAGTGAAGAATAAGTAAAAGGGATCATCAATAGTTTCATTATCAATCATGGAAATCTCAGGCTAGGATAATCTCGCTCAGACATTAAGAAAGAGGGGTCGACGTGCAGTGATGTCAATCTCATCATGAAATAATCACCTTTCGGTGTAATGGCAGTATTTTGAGTTGTCACCGGTCCTGCGGTACTGACTTTTGAGACTGGGTTGACGATCTACATGTTCCATGGAACCGTCTTCTGCAAAATACCATTACCTAGTCACTCGGCCGGTTAGACAATGGCGACTTGAGGATTGCGCAACCGATCAGCTTTAAATTAGATTTGGCCAGAATCACTGAGAAATTCTGAAAACTCCCGCTCAAGAGCACTCGGATCAAAGGGGGTAGATGGATCAAACGGCGCTGGGTCGGCCGGGTTGTCGACGTTGAGATAGTCAAGAACCTCGGAATATCTATAAAAATGGCCACATATTAGTTGTGTCAATGTGAATGAAACTCAAGCACTGACATCATAATCTTCCAAGTCTCTTTCGGGAAGTCTGCGCTGTCGAATGACCAATCGAAAGGCCCTGAAGCTACAGGCTCGTCGGTAGGATCATGATACGCAGCCAAGTAGGGATGTCTCAGAGCGTCTTGGGCGGAGATTCTTGTGTCGGGATCAATAACCAGCATCTTCTTGAGAAGGTCAATGGCTATAGAGCTGTGTGTCATTATCTGTGTCCAGCCATTCTTTTTATCTTCCGCAGAGGGTGTTTACCATCGAAATCAGTATCTTTCGGGACGACAGTCGATAAGTCTCGAGGCTCTCGTGACGGCAAAGATCGAACAAAGTTCACAGTCTAGATGTCAAAATCAGTGGGGAAACAAATCTTGGATTAGTGAGTCAAGTGTCCCCGTGCGACTTACGTTCTTACTGGTGATCTTCTCAATCACCGCATCAGGAGGATTTCCAAGGATATTTGTGATGAGGTGGAACTGGTGAACGTGGTCCTTCCCAGGAAAAAGCGGCTTACCCCGTAGCATCTCAGCAAGGATACAGCCGGCACTCCAAACGTCCACTTGAACTCCGTATCTCTGCCATGTTAGCATGATTTCCGGGGCGCGGTAGTATCTGGTTGCAACATAGCCGGTCATCTGGGGCTCCTGCTGCCGGGCGAGACCGAAATCGCATATCTTCAAATCGCAGTTTTCGTTGATGAGAATGTTGGTTGGTTTCAGGTCACGGTGAATCACATTAGCGGAATGGATGTATTTCAGGCCTCGCTATTGACAGTCAGCAAGGCATATTGGTGTCATCCTCAGCGTCGATGTTCATACTAAGATCTGGTAGATGAAGTATTGTGCGAATTTGCTGTCAAGAGGTTTGATGCTCAAAAGGCGTCCGAGGTCAGTCCCTAGAAGTTCTGTGGCTATGTAGCTAACCTGATATCAGTATACCAGCAAAAGGCGTTAAAAACAAAGAAGGCGAAGATGCCACAAGAATAGTCGCCTACATGTCCTCCAAAGGAGATATGAAAATATCGCGCAGGCAAATGAGCTAGAATCCAGGGTCAATCTCCCCCTCGGCAGCAGGATCAGGACGCCATACATTCTCATGTCGAAGATACTTCAGCAGCCTGATTTCCCGATATGTACGCTTAGCCAGAGACGAGCTGTCAAAAGGCTTCATAATCTTCTTCAATGCAACTGGCTGCTGGGTTATCTGATCGAAGACCGAGCTAGTGGTGCACGCTTTATTAGTAACGATACGCAGTTGGACGTTTCAAGAGCCAGTAAGTAGGGGCAATGCCACCGTAGTAGGTACGTACCAGACGAGGCCAAAAGACCCCATACCAATGGGCTGCGGGTTCACATATCTAAATCATAGTAGTTAGCTAGACGACCTTGATCTTCTCGGCAGCTGTTGGTCCAAGACCAAGCGCAACGAGCAGAAAACAAACATGCCTCGTAGTGTATTCGAATTTCGTACCCAAGATCTCAGCACGGACAAACTCAGCCATGTGGATAGGGCCGAGCGGTCAGGTATTGTGACCTCTGTGACAATGGAAATCCGAAGCGAGTAATGATAGTCTGAATTTCATAATCTGATCGGAGGGAAGAGGCGGCAGGGACCCAGGTAATCAGCCGTCCAAAGGAGGGGGTGTGGACGGTGTGGGTGTCTAGCTGACTATGTGGCTTGTTTGCCGGATCGAGCCAGCCAGAAGATTCAGGAAGAGTACCTGAGAGGGCTGAGAGTCCGTAGCATGATTCTAGGAGGTACTAGCAGTAGTAAACGAAGTAACACAAACACACCCATCCCATGCCTTGAGGAAAGTTCCGGAAACGCAACCGAGCTAGTGAGGATTAAGAAAGGGACAGGCGAGATTCTCGACTGTTCGATCCAGACCATAGACTAGTAGATAGATAGATGGGAAGTGAATAATAATAATAAGTACGTAGGCAAGGGTAAGGACCGTAAGGTAGGTAGGTAAGTGGAGGCTGATGGACGACGGAGGAGATAGCGTGGGCGTTGGATTTCAATTGGCGGGCCGAGATGCCAGACAGCGTGAAAATGAAAGGGGCACAAAAAAACATGGAAGGCTACTAGTAAGGTAGTAGGTGGGCCTGGATCTGCTGCACCAAGCAGTAGTGGTACGTACCTAGCAAGTACTGGCTGGTATCTGATCCAGAACAACAAACAACAGTAAAACAGCACCATTCTCAAACTGACTGCAGGATGGCCAGCGGACCGGGGATAGATCATATCAACTGGACACGATGGATATAGGAGTCCATTTGATCTGTTTACACGTTACCCTGCTTCCAGTTCCGCGATCAGTTCCTTTCCATAGAGTGGGTCAGAACGTTAAGGCTACCGTGGATTCCATCTCCAAGATCTAGGTTACCTGCAAGTATCTGTTACCTTTTACAGAGAAAGAGCACCTGCGCAGCTGTTCTACCTATTGTTGTGGGCTGTGGGTAGGGATGGTGGTTACATTTCCCAAGTCCAGCCCTAAAGTACTTAGACCAAGTGATGGTCCTTACTTTCTCTGCTCCTGAACCCTATAAGCCTTTCCCTCTCAATAATCTGAGGGATCACAGACTCCCTGGCAGGGAAAAAAAGAACACTCAAAATCTTCGAAGTTTCACATGATATTGCTGAAACTATGCCTAGGCCGAGTCTGCTGCATACATCTTCCTTCTCTTCTACCCCAGCTGACTATCGTACAACTCACGAGGATATGTTTCCTCGCATTCCTGCCACAAGCAATATCAACTTGCACTGTTGACTTCGACGGATCAGACGTCCAGAAGCGTCCCCTCTTGCGCGGCCCTCGGTATCCCGTCCTTTTTAGCAGAGACTGCAGAGGCCTTCTTCTTTCCTTTTCTATGACGCGTTGAGCTGGAATCGCTGGTCAGAATAACATTCTGGTTTTCTCTCTGCATCGTGGCCAAGCTTCTCGGGTTTGCTTTTCTGAGCAAGAGAATATCTTGCTGCTTCGCTCCCCATTGCGCAAATTCTTGGTAGCCTCTGATTGCTCGTTTCTTTAGTTCCTCCTCCGCCGAGACCTCCGGTCGATGGTCAATCGAAGACCCTGCCACGTTTGCTGGTTCCACTTCTGATAACATCGATGAACTCAACTCGCACTTGCAGAAACAGTCATGATCTTCTGAACAGGGTTTGTCGCAGACATGACCACAAAGCATTCGGAGGTTGCAACGCTGTTCGCACTGGACCAGATCATGTGGGAAGCTTGAAAGACACTGCGTCAGTGGGAGCGGCTCGGCGTCAAAACCGTCTGATGACTCACCTATGGCATTGAAGGGCACACTTATGTCCACAATCCAGTAGCTCCTCGCATGGTTGTCGGCACCCACCATTCGTTTTTACCCAGTCCGAAGGCTCTTCAACACCCCCAGTCAGCATAAGTTCTTGAGACCATTATCGTATGAACAGAAAGACCAACCTTGCTTGAGAGTAGTGTTGCCATGTTTCTGGCACGTCAAAGGCAGTTGGAATCCAATGCTTCGGCAAGGGCGCTCGCTGGCCATGATGGTAATCACTTTCCGCCAAAGGGCATCGGCAGAGTAAAGGAGCTTTGCGTTCCCAAAGATATAAAACCCATTCTTTGCTCGGGACAGTGCAACGCAGACTCTGTTTTGCACCGACAAGAACCCGATGCCCTTTGCATTTGAGCTCCTCACCAAGGAGAGAATGACAATGTCGTTCTCTTCTCCCTGATATGAATCGACCGTCACGACCTTGACATACTGGCCCTGGAGGTACGAATGATTCCTCATCAGCTTCAATATTTTCTTCCTCTGGCCATTGTAGAAGGTCAAAACAGTTATGTTGTCGACCGAGACGCCGTTGAGCACAAGGTAAACAAAGAATCCCACGATCATTTCCGCCTCCATCACGTTGTATTTGGACGCCAGGCTGTCACTGCTTTCTGGCCAGCTGTGCGAGAAGAAGAAAGACCGGAGGTCGCCCATGCCCGGAACTTTTGGACGCCGGAGGACACTCCGATGATCCTGCAGTTCTCCGTAGATAGGCTCCAACAGGCGGCGAATTTCCGGCACCATACGCCTCTGGAGCCTCAGAGTAACGTACCCAATTCCGTTCTTCACAAGCCGTTCGAACATGGACACATCCAGATGGAAAGGTTCACCTTCAAGGTCTTGCACTGCGCAATGACCCTTGAGCTGTTGGTGATCGCCCACGAGTATCATGTGTTGGACCGAGTCAAGACAGGCAACGGCTATTGGGGCCTCAATGACCTCAGCTGCTTCTTCGATCAGGATGATCTTTGGTTTCACA